CGCATTCCACTTGCCGGCCACTATGCAAATTAACTAAGTCTGGCTTGTCGTCGCGCCAGCATTTTCCCGCAAAGAAGGAGCCACAGACATTTGTACCGAGAGATTTCTTTCCTCCTTCTTTTTCTTTTTATTTTTTTATTACTGCGAAAAACTTGTCAACCGCCGAAAGACCTGCTGCTTTAGCCGTGCGCAAGATAAATGGACAGAAAATTGTCTCGAGTTGGGGAAAAAACAAGGATTTGCGTTTGACGCGAAAATATGTTTTCCTGCTCTGGGCGACGGAAAAAAATCACGACGCTAAGCGACGCCCCAAAATGCTGCTTCAACTCGAGTGCTCTCTTTTATATATTTTTCAGCAGCATGCGGCACTCGACGCGCGTGTATTATTTGCCACTCGAATCGTTTTGTTTGCCGAGAGCATGCTGCTGTGGAGAGAACATGTCCAATCTATTAATTATGCATATGACTGAAACGTTCAATTGAATAATAATAATCGCTGCGCATGATGCAAATAATATTCGAACCAATACGGACGTTTGTTTTCAATTTAATTGGCTCGGAATCATACCGAGTTGTTGTTGCAGGACGATCGTGAATTGTCAACCAACTGCAAGGGTTAATTAAGAGGAGCAAAACTCAAATGCATTTCGCAATTGATTTTAGACCACAGACCTAGATTGACTTGTATTTTTCCACGTCAAGGATTATTATTTGATTACGAAGAAAAGCCTTAATTTATCAACAAAATTAATTTTATCAGAGACCGGTTTGGCCATTATAAATATCAGTTAAAATAAAAATGTCAAAAATTCAAAACTGTTAACTCAAAAAAATTTTAAGTATAGGATCAGTGTCATGTGGATTATTTTTAGATTTTGTTGTCTGTTTATTTATGAAGTGAAAAAATGTCCGAATTTTAAATAAAAATTTCAACATTTTTAATATGATATTTACTTAATCGAAAAATTTTAAAATTATTCTTAAGTAGAAAAATCAACAAATTTTCAATTTTCAATCAATTTTCGAGTTTTTTTTTTTTTTTAATATTCATGTTTGTTTCGGTCTTGACTCTCAAACTTTTTCCCTCTTCTGCTTCGTGCGTGACTCTCAAGAATGAAAAATTAGCATCGCTTGCGAATGGAATGCGGACTTAATGGGGTGCAAAGCGCGCTTGAAAACGTTCCAACTGCCGTCTGGCGTCCGCGTGTCCTGCCCTGGATAAATCATCCCCGGCTAACGCAAATACCACGAGTCTGCGGAGACTTTTCGGGAAGAGCAAACAGCCGGATAGCTCCTCGGGTTAAATGTCAACGGTGCTGATCAATATACCCTTTGCTGACAAGTCGTTCCGAGTGGCCCATAATTCGGGCCATTCCGAGCAATAAGAAGTGACAAGAGGTGGCCAAAGTGATACAATAATAATAATTTTCAACCGCGCGATGAGGTTTTGACGACTCCCTAAATAGACGGCGCCCGCTCTTTAAACCCGCAGAGATGTTGATCTGGGCCAGGGAAACAATAAATTTGGGCCGAAATTCGCCTGTTCCTATCTCCTTATCGTTGCCGCCGTGAAGAGCGAGGGTGGCTTTTTTAAGAGCCGCTCGAGCACGTGCTCGGGAAGTATAGCGGCGCAAAAGTGGGAGAGGGGCGCGTTTTACTGTCTGCCCCGCAAGACACTTAAAAAGAGCATAATTCTCATTAAAATTGCCAAGTTCTCCCCGGCAATTTAGGGCCAACCGTCACAAAGGACGAAAAAAAAACATAGAGCGTCAACGAACTATTCATTTTGATAAACAAATATGAATTCACATTTATCATTATATTATTTTTCAGTTTGATTGAACAAAGGACGTGCTTCAATTGACCCAATATTTGTCCTGTAATTGCAGCCAACAGCGCATGTCAATCACTGATTAAATATTGTTTCATCCTCGCGGCTTTTTATCTCTGGATTTTTTTATTTCTCTCTCGTCAATAACGCGAGCAAGGTAGATATTTTCACACAGAATGAATTATTCTATGGGAACGGTTTTTGACCGCTTTTTAAAAAAAAAACAGGCGTGCGACTAATCAGCTGGAAAATCGCTTCTGACTGGAAATTTGCAGAATGCGCGACGAGAGGCGAGGGATGCAAATTTCGTCCGGATCGGAGCTGACGGAATCAATCATGTGTTAAAATATTAGAGTGTCTCGATTTCTAATTAGCCTCGCCGGTTTGTTAAACAAACGCGCCGTGCTCGCGCGATGCTTATCGCGCACAGGCCCACTTCTTTAACGGCCGTGGAGACCAATTTATTTTATTTAAATATCTTCATTATGTTTCCCAAAAATGGCAATGGGCTCTAAATAAAAATAAAGAAGAAATAACAAGCTGTGCTATTTGCAAATTCTTTCCAAGGCTAACGAACAAATGAGGCACCAATAATATTAAAAATCAGACAAATTTACATTTGGATCCCACAATAGTAAGGCAAAGATTTTATCTACTAAAAAAACTCTATATTTGTTTAATAAAACTTTATTTTTTAACAGTAATGAAAAATTATTAGCAAATTTTTATTAGGTCCATCATTGCTTTCAGGGACTTTATTTTCCTCAATTTCTGTACATTTAATTAAATGTTACTTTTGCCTCTTGCAAATATTTTTGTTCTGGAAATAACAAGCAAAGAAAACATTATGCGAAATTCCAACTTTATGCAAACAAAGAGGAAATTTTCCTCACTGGAACAATTTTGGCACAAACATCTCAATTTTCGTTCCACTGGCTGAACTGGAAAAAGGGGGAAAATTTAGAATTCCCTTGAAAATTAATTTCATTCGCGGCTGGCGGAACCGAGCCTGAATTTTTCTCAGCAGCAAATCTTTCTCTCCTCGTCGCTACCCTTGTGGCTTTTTTTTCTCCGCCTCAACATCTTTTATCTCAAGCGCGCTCCGTGCTTTTAATTATCAACAACATCATAATAATAAAATTCCCGGCAAGCAAGGTGTGTATGTGTGTGCAGAGGGCGCTGGGAAATTTAAATAAAATTCAGCTCCGGCTTGTTTGCGGCCGCAGATAAGGGATAAAATGTTTCGGCTCAGCCCCCATGGCTGCAAGAAGAAGTATTTTTATTGCTCACAAACACGGCGCGCAACTCATGTTAAAACACAGCCAGACGCTGCGCCACGTGAATTTATAAACACATCATAAGCAAGAGATAAACTGGCGCAATAAGACACGGCTCGGATTGTCAACAAACGAGGAAAAAAACGTACGCCGATGAGACGCGACGCAACTCGCAGGGTAGAGGGAAAAAAATTATTTTCCTGTTTGCCCTGGCGACAAAAAAAAATGTGAACAAAAAGTCTCCTAGAAGAAGAAATTTGTTTTATTTGCTTTTTTGTAATTAGTGTGTAATCAAAAGGCTCTTCAATTAGATAACGCGTCTATGACGTGCCAGCGTTGAGGTAAAAAAGGGTACTCAAAGGAATGTATTCCAAGGAGAGGAGGTACGTGAATTTTTTTGGTCCATTCATGCTCTGGCAAAAGCATCTCCCTTGTCGCGACCTTGGGGATGTTGCATGCTCTGAGACAATAAATTCACCTGAGAGTGGGATTAACAAAAGCTCTGCAAATTCCGATTTTTTTTTATCTCTTACTAGTTGATAAAAAAGGTTAACAACTGTAATGATAAAGTAGCCCAGAGGTTCTAATCAGTATTTCCTATAATAGTAATTATTAAAAATACGGAGATAAATTGTCATTAAAATTAATTTTTTCCCTTTGATATTTAATCACTGAAAACTTTTTTTAATTTCTTTAAAAAATTTCAATTGTTTGTGATAGTTATAAATTTTAAAGACTGGCCATTACAATTAAATGAATTAAATTATTTAAATTTGTACTTTGTAATAAACTTTAAAATTTTTTGTACAAAAAACACACGTCTAAAGGCAAGTAATACTTTTGATCTGCAGCAATTAAGGCAAACTCACCTTGACATAATTGAAAACCGGACCGCAATTTATGCAATAGTTCATGCTCGGCAAACAAACTCTTTCACTCTATTGAACGAAAATGACATCACGAAACGTTTTCTCGATTTTTTCTTTTTTTTCTGTAAAAAGACTTTAAAAGGCAATGGAAATTCCAAATGACATATTATTTGTCTCTGTCAACCTTTTTTGAATCAACTTTTCTTGATATCAAGTAGGAATTTGGACCGAGAGATGATCACGCGGAGAGAGGGCTAAGCAGATTAGCGCCTTCTTATTTAGGCTGGGATTAGTGCGATTACACGTGGGCTAATTAAGTGCTGCCGAGAAGAGCCTAACGCAAATAAATCCTTCTCAAACGCGGCGCCACTTCTTATTCGAAGGAGGAAAAATTAAGTATCCGATGAATATATAATATAAAATTAGATTGATTCTCACAGGCCAAGAGTCTCTTAAACTAATCCTAGATTATTGTGTGCTGGAAATGCATACCAGTTTACGTGAGCGGAATGAATTAGAAAAAAAGAGATGGAGAGAGACGGAAAGGTGGTTTCGAGTTTCACAAGATCCATAAAGAGCAGGGTTTTGTTTCACAGGCAAAGGCAGTTCTATTACGATCTCTAATGGGGCTTTAAATGGACCCTTCTACCAAATGATCGCGTCCTAATGCGCATACAAATGTATTCGAAGTATTCAACCGAAAAAAAATCGTTTCGAAATAAATACAGGCGACGGGGTTTAACGATACAATATTGATTTTCATTGATTTATCGGTTCAAGGGAAAAATCAATAATTTCAAAGCAATTTGTCTTATCAAAAATACCCTAATTTAAGTAAATATAATTCTAATATTCATTATTTAAATTAATATAAAAAAAATAAAAAAATTTAATTAAAAATAAAATAAATTAAATAGTTCAATGGTGTACATTTGAGGTCAATAAGATAAACATCAAAGTTAAATTAAAATTAAATAAAATGAAAACATTAAATATAAAAGTCCAAGTTTTAGGGTGTCCTACCTGGAATGGGTTCTCTGGGAATCTCTCCGAAGCCCTTCTCGGACATGAGGGCATGCCGGACGGCCGAGCAGTGCAGAGGGCCGCTCTTGAGGGGCAGGGCGGTGGTGTTGGCCGAAATGGGGTTGGCCGACGTGGCCCCCAGCAGCAGCACCACCACCGAAAACACAGTCCATCGCACCAAGCACTCCATGCTCCTCCTGTTCGGCGAGTCCTCGGGGGGCGAAAGGGTCGCGGTCGCGGTATTCACGGCCCAGCAAAACGACTCACAGCGGTCAGCGGGCCAAATCGCATCTCCCGGGCGATGCAAAAGCGTGTGCTCCAGTCATCGGACGCGAATAATTATCAGTGCTCACGGGCCAGGTGATCGCGGCGGCTCGAGATGAAGCAGGAATGGCAGCAGCAGCAACGCAGCAGTGGAGATGGAGGCGGCACTTCCCCTCCGCCGCCGCTCTTGCTTGCCCCCTCGTGCAGTCGCTTCCCCTCGCCGCCTGTAAACACGCTGCCCTTCAATGAACTCGGCACGGGCTCGCGGCGACACCCGCAACTCGCCTCACGATGCTGCCACCTTTGGTCGCAATGCCAACTTTTTGGCCGTGATAAGCTCGAGCGGCAATCTTGAGACCTGTTAAAAAATTAGGTATTGTAATAAATCATGTCGCCAAAGATTGAATAAAAAAATTAAAAAGAAATTCTATGAATGTAATTTAAAAAGAAAATATGAAATATATGATACATTGTATAATAAAATATATTTTTGAATTATACATTCCGAATTCCGACAGAGAGTGGAGAGTGCAAAAAAATTATAACTGATTAAATTGGTAACTTCTGAAATTTTGCTTTCTTTTGTCGTTGATGTGCCCATGATTTAATTTTAGATTTAAACTGTATAATATTATAAGAAAAAATGAAATTCGGGAGATTTTTCAAAGAGCTTATATTTTTTTAATGTAACAAGAAAAAAAATCATCAAAAAGGTGTATTAGGTAAATTATTTTTAAATATCTCCTTCTAGGTTTTGAATATTATATCGTATTGTATTATATAATATATTGTTTTCAACGATTGTTGTAAAGAATCGAGCTTGACAGATATTTACTATATTTCTGATATATTTTTATTTTTCACAAAATAACAGGTTTTTTAATTCAGTAAAAAAAATTTTTTTATTTTCTTATGAAAGCAGGGACAAGAGTTAAAAAAAAGGCATGCTTTGATTTATTATAGGAAATCTCTAATTTCTGCACATGTTTCAAATTTTATATATGATAACTATTGACACTGCGCTCGCATTAACAATTTTTTCTCATATTCTTGTATTAATCATTTTTCTTTTTAGTCAAGAGATGAATTTTATTGCAGAAAAAATTTTGTTTCTATGAACATTAATGTGCGTGCCGCAAACAAAGCCTCTTAACATTTTGAATCCATTCGGAAAAATAATAAATTGTTCTCATCCAAACTTCTGGATTATCACATGAATTGAACATTGCATCTTTACGAGTTTATTCTTTCCTTCCACACCTACGCTTTTCACAAAGTTAGAAGTGCATCTAGCTCATCGTCGTCTACAGTTTCATCCAGCACAAAATCAATAGCTCTTTGCTTTTTTGCTGTTGGAGTTGTGGCTTTCTTCAGATTACATCCTTGCGAAACAGTTGGTTGAGGGATGCTGGGCACTGGATCAGATTTCTCTAAAGGCGACTCAACCAATGTTTCAATATCGGATGAAGTTTCCGAGGTTGTAAAGTGATCCCATTTGCTAGTAACTTTGGTCTTTGGTTTGAATTCAAAGACCTTAGATTCATTGGGGTGCGAGAACTTGCCCCATTTGCTGGAGCCTTCTGATGGCTGAACAAGCTGCTCTTGAAGTTCCTCTTCGTCCTCCTGATCGTTTGGCAAGAGTCGACTCCATTTACTTGGCTTATTCTCTGCCACAATCCCTGTGAGAATTCTCCGTCCTTCAACCCTGACCTCTTTGGCCTCCGCATTGAAGTTACTGGTTCTCTTTCTACTGCTACTGCAATTTTCCTCTTCCTCTTCTGCATTGGCCAACGCAGGTTTAGGTGCCCTCGGCTTTGCCTTCCTCACCCGTCTTGGGTCACTCGCCCTGAGGGCCATTTGGATGGGGTCTTCGTCATCACTGGACTCTTCCTTGTCCACCTGCAAGAAGTTACTCCACTTGCTCTCGGAGGTTTGTGGTTGGAAAGGTTGATTGAAAGGGTCAAATTGTTGCACTTCGGAGTAAACAAGATCCTCCTTCTGCAGAGTCATCTCGGTGCAGTGAGAGTTCTGCATTTCCTCAGAGGTGATTCTCGAGGCGTTCAATTTTTGGACATGGACTCGACACTCTTGGCCTGTTCCTCTGCCAAACACCTGTTGACAGGAAAAATTAATTATAAATCAGCTTTTTTATTAATTATTTTACGTACCTGTTTGATAGATTGTTTTTCGTTGCACATTTTGCATTGCCACTTGTTACTGCTCTTCTTTACAATGTGAACCTGTCAGTATAATCAAAAATTAAAATGACATAAAATCACCAAAGAAAATTCGTACACACCTGAAACGTCGAACAAGCAAAACATCTCAAAACATGGAATTCTTGTGGCATGTTTGGTTTGGTCGATTTTTAGGCTTAATCAAGACCAAATGTCAAAATTTTGATGAAATTTAGAAAATAAAATGAAAAGCAAAGAACTAATCGACTTGACTCATGGAATTTAAAAGGCAAAGTGGCAAAATATGATTGCTTACATTATCGTGTGCCTCTCTGACTCTGCAGCTGTTTGGCGCGTGAACTGGCGGCGGCGACCGGCGACTCATAATGGCATTTTTATACTGACACGAGAAAAGCAGTTCATAGGCAACATGCAGTACACCAGTGTCGTTTGTATTGCATAACCTCCTGTAAAGTTTTCATTATTTTATAAAAAAAATGGTAATTTTTTATTTTCTTTTAAAATTTGAACTATTTAAAAAAAAATTAAAACTCACCAAAAAAATATTACTTAATTCATTATAATTATTTTATCCCTGATTTTATCTTCACTCGCATTACTAAGCAATCTCAGCATCTTTATTTGCTAGAGTTTAGAATTGCAATTTTTATTTATTGATAATTTTAAATGTGCATGAGAGATGAGATTGGAATTTTATAATATTTTAAAATAAGTCAGATTTAGAATTTTCATCAAATATAAATTGTAATCATTATGAATGAGAGAGAATGAGAGAGTACAAAATGAAATATTTATACCCTCATGCACATTTTTACACATTTTTTTTTTTCGAAACTAAATTCATAAAATATATTATTAGTGTTGTCATTTATCCACCTTGATATATAAATAAATTGATTGCATTCAATTTTTGAAAACAATTTATTTTGAGAAAAAAAAATTGTTGGGCAAAACGGCACCACCAAGAATTTTGCTAAAATTTCCGACAATTAAAAGACCCCATCCGCCGCAGTGAACCTCGGCTGGCTAAGATTTTTGTTATGAATTAGCTTAGTTTTTTATGGTGATGACAAAATTTAAAAATAACAAATTTTAATTTCAATGAACAACTTCATTATCATTCATTTCTAAGCACAGAGCGCTGCATAATGTTCGCGTCGTTTCCTCTCTACACCTTTTTGCTAGAGACATTTTCATAAATGACATGACAGCGCAGCGTCCCTTCAAATATAATAAATCTGGTACTAAAAAGTCAACACAGGACGAGGGGAGGCTGATGTACTTTTTTTTTAATTAAAAGTGACGAACAAGCGACTGCCCAGCGCTGGACAGAGTTCGTTAATTAAATCATAAAAAATAACAACAACGTTCCAGGAACCATCAATAACGGTTTTGCTCCCTATTTTCCCAGTTTAAATTAATTTTCAGATTTTTTATTAAAAAATTTGGCATAAATTTATATTTTTTATGATATGCAGATAGGATTTTTAGATACAAAAATTTAACCGCCAACGGGGGCATTATTATATTTATGCTCATTTTTTTTCTCTCCACGCCAAATGTAGACCGCGCGCAAATTGTGATTTGTGCTGGCGAGATCAAATCTGCATGTGCAGACACGCGTGAAATGAACCAGGGACTAGATGGCAAGAAAAAAATTCCATCGGAAGATGGAAAAATCGTTCCGACTGCACATTTGCTAGTTACTATTGGTGGTGGCGAATGAATTTCCTGTCGATCGCCTCTTGCCACACTCAAGCAGATTTTTATCAATTTAGATAAGGCGTGTGTTTTCTTGCGCCCCGGGGTGTCGCTGTCGGGGGGTAGGGGGGCGAAGAGCAGCCCTGCAGCACGCGTGCGTCAGGCGACCTGCGCTTCTGGTGTGTTGCATGGCACGCCGCAGTGGCCCTTCTGACACCGTCAACATCGCAAGTCCTCACCGCACTACACCATAACATAATTAGCTGCGCTGATTGCTGTTTGTCTATGTGAGTACCTGTGCATATTTAGTTTTTAATTTATTTCTTTTTGTTTTTGTTTTTTTCATGCATGATAATGCTAAAGACAACAAACTATTTAAAAAATGTATAAAAATTAACGAGTTTGAATTTTTTATTTATCAAAAAAATTTAATGAAGCTATTTAATTTTTAGGGCTTAATCTAATTTCATTAAAATTAAGGCATAAAAATCTACCACGGTTTTTCCTGCTGCTGTTAATTTAAAAACATGCATGTGTATATAATATTGTATGGCTAATCAATGTGGAAAATAACTTGGCAACCTAATCCGAATGCAAATGAACCCTAGCGAAAGTTGGGACGTGGCGAAAGAGTTTTATTATGATTTGCTTCGGAGCTTTTCACTGGCGAGAGACGCTTCGTTTCATCAGCAATTCAAATTGACTGCTATTAGTTAGCATTAGTAAGAGGATCAGATTGGTCGGCGACAAAATGCGGTCGGGCTTTTAATTGGGCGCCCACAGACTATAGTGAATTAATTGTAAAGCAAGCGTACACCGCTACTGACTGACAATTGCCAGCTATGGCGGAAAATGCAATTTCGTTCATTTGATTACTGCAAGCAAGAGAGCCAATTTGTCAACTCGCACAACACACAATCGCCTTACAATCAATGAGAGGCCTATTCATATTTCAAACATATAAATATGTATTTTGGCTGACCGTCAGTCACATGACGTATGTTTTGATTGATTTAGTAAGGTTTTATTAGTAATCAGACTATTGTATTCACTTGAATATTATACGGTCAAGTGAACGTCCAGTCAAATTTATCATGTTGAAACCTCACTTTTGCTCATTGCATTAGATATTATTATAAATTGCAAATATTTTAAGCATTATTTTGAAAATTTAATTAATCAATTCCTATTACACTTTTCAATGTACATATTTCCACTTTGGTATAACGATTGTTCACCAAACGCACATAAGACTGGGTTCACATATAGCACTTATCTATTTCTCTTGAATACGACTTACATAAATTTCATCAAACAATTTGGGAGCTCCCCTGCCATCTTTTTTCAAATAATTTTTAGTTTTTTTTAATAATGTTGCACTGTGCAACTGGCACTGCAATGGAGATTAAAAATTAACTTTTATTAATTTTTTACGTAATTGAGGGTTGATTCATGAATCTCGGAGAATTCAATGTAAAGTATGCTTTTCTTGTGAATTATGGCTGCAGTCGACACATGTAGAGCAGGATAAAAATAGTTTTCCTGGCAAAAACAAATAATAAAATTTATTGAGGGAAGGCTGATTTTTAATTATTCGGTTTAGAATTAATTTGTTTTGACGGTGATAAAAAAATTAAAACATTCAGATTATTATAATCACAGTGGTATTTAAAGAAAAGTAACAAGTTTAACTCGAGAGTGAAATTATTTGGAATGAACCATTAAATATGAGCATGGATACATTATTTGCAGTTTGCCCAGACCCTCCATGTTTAACAAGTTGGACGTAATTCAAAAGCCTCGCTTCCACTCAGCCGAGCATTTGAAAGTCGATGGTGCTAATAACTTTACGATGATATTTCATTTTTGGCCGCACTCGGCTCTTTTTATCACCGCACTTCCACATGAATTGGGATGCCGACGTCGCTGTCACGCTGCGTCTCAAAAGTGCTCCTCGAGCTCGCTTTACATTTTCCATGCGCAGACACGTTTATTTTACATTCGATGCATACATGGTGGCGAATATCAAATGTCTGTCACCGGCATGATTGAGATGACAGGGTAGTGATTTGCATGCACCGAAATGTGTTTGTGTGAACCCCATTCATAATTTTTGTTTTTGACAGACCCACACTTTCCTCTATATCGGAACGAAAATTGATCGACTCGTCATAAACTTTTTTTAGTTTTAATTGAGATGAAAACGCTGACAGAAAAGATTGTCGTCTGGAAACTCGTTAGCTAAATATTTATTAAAAACGTCATCAAAGAGAAACGTTTGTGTATGTGCAGGACGGGAGCTTGGAACGGCAAAGTTTTGTTTCATTATATAAAACGAGAGGTCGCAAGAGACTTCTTTGCGGTATTTAATTAAATCCCCCGAAACTTTGCATCACGTTTTTAGAGGCGAATTAAAAAAGGACATTCGCGTGCAAGGGGAGCTTGTGTGCCAGCGGGACAATTCTTTGTGTTTGTGCGCCAGTGGTGAAAAGTTTTCCGTGAAAAAAGTCACCAGCCTGGATGCATCGTGAGGCAATTTTGAGTATCAAAGGAGTCCTCCTTGATCAGAAGAAGATTTTCTTTATTCAGGCCTCGCGCCATTGTTTCAGGCCATATTCATTCTTTGAGCTCAAAAAGCACAGGCGGGCGGCTTTCTGAATAAATAGCCTTAAATAACGCTGCCTTCCCGCGTGCAAAAACTCCGCACGCTCCGGGGAGCTTTTAGTCCTTTACGGTGCCATTTATACTTGCGATGCTGCGGATTCTTGGCATTTTCACCCTTGAAAATGCCACACGTTAAGAAATGGAAACCGTAAAGCAAGTATATAGGTCTTTGGAGCAAATTGCTCTGGGGACACTGATGGGTTTTTATAACCGCTGAGCAGGTGTTTGCCGAAAAACGAAGCAAATTATATCTCATAATGAAACACATGCAGTGTTTACTTATTCAATATGCAGCGTCTACATTATTATTTTTTAATTCTATTTAAAAGCAACAAAGTTTATATGGAAATTTTAAAGTAGGTTTTACCGGATTTAACTTTGAATGAGACTACATGAAACAAATTAGACTGGTGAAAAAGTCTTTTTGATTTTATTTTGATTTGCTTCAAAATGAATTCTGACAATAGATCTTTGCGAACTGTTCAAAATGTTTGATGCTTAAACGAATATTTAGACTGTCACGGACAAAATATCTAACTGTTGATTAAAGGAATTTTCTTCAAATTTATGAATTATTTTGAGATTTTGAGAAATTTTATGTTTTGAGATGATTATTAACTTGTCTTTTAATTTAATTTTTCAAGATTCTAATTTTTTTTAAACACCAACTGCCTGATGGATTTAAGAGGATTTGATTCTTAAATAAAAGAAAATATATGAAAGACCTAGAAAATAAATATTGGTTCTATTTCACCTTTCTTATAAATAAAATTGTTCACTTATCCAGGCTAGACATAATTATACAATGCTTTTAAGCTATTTATTCATCATAAAATTTTATAATTGAGAAGCGTCTACCTATAAATTGGAATAATACTCCAAATGCTGGATCACGGATTGCTCTTTGAAACTAAATCTTTTTCTATCACTTCTATCATTTCCAAAATTCAATTTATTGACATAATTCATAATAACACTTCAAATCCCATGTATCTGAAATGTATATAATACTAGTGTAAATATCACTGAATATTAAATTTCCTATCCAGTTCCACGTTGGCCATAAAACGGCAAATACTCTACCGCGCAATTTGTATATAATTTGCATTCGCAGACAAATCATACAGATTATGGAAATTGCACGCCATACCAATCGGCATAATTTCCCAATTCAAAGTTGACTGTGCACGTTTGCCCGTCGCCAATTTCGCTTTGGCAAAATCGGTTTAGGGCCAATTAAATTAGCATGATACTAGCAAAAAAAAGCGCGACGTAATCGTTTTCCACGAAGTGGGATTCGCGCGACGAGGTGCAGAAGTGCTTTTTTCTAGGACGCCAATTGAATTGAAAGCGACCGGAGAAAATTTCTTTCTTTTCGCGTGAAAAGAGTTTGCAGAGCGCCGGGGCGTGTTTGGGGATTATTTTTATACCGAGGCGGTATTAATTCAGCGCATCTGGCATGGAGTGTTTCTATGTATAGCCGCCGTCAGAGAGCTCTATTATGCAGATCAAAGACACGTGGTCTATCTAGCCAAGTGTGTTCCGACATCAATGCACGAGCAGGCCCCGGCTTGTGGGCCACATTATGGTTCTTGTACAGCACCAGGCTAATGGAATGGCATCGCTACAATTTGCCAGCAGCCCTCAGCGTTTTGCCAATTGACGTTCCTTCCAAGCGGCTACGAATCGAGACGCCACAAACAAATTCAAAGAATTAAAGCGCCAGCAAAGAAGCAGGTGGATAAAACGTTTGTGCAGAATGCAAAATAAATTTATGCTTTTTACATTCATGGCGCTGGACAAGAAGAGTGCATTTTAAATAATCAACTCTTCATTATAGCACTGAGAGATACTATAATTGAATTAAATTTAAACATTCGAAACTCCGTTTGAGCCACAAATAAAATAATCAAGATTGCAGCATAAAATTAAAAAATATATATACCTAACTGAAAATTCTTTCAAGTAATTTATTTTTTAATTAATTTTGGACCTAAAATGGAAAAGATAAGCTACAAAATATTTAATTAAAAATAACAAACGTGAAATGAAAAAATAATACACGCACTGAAAATCTGCCCAGTGAAACAGTTTCCAACACTCTGCAAGGTATACTTGTGGCAAAATTTGTGATTTGTGACAAGAATCAAAACTAACTAACTCAACTAGGCTCACTGCGGTGGACGGGGTATGTTTGATCTCAGATTCAGAATCTGCTCAGAATTTAAAGCAAAAATAGTCGGCTTTGCTGTTTTATCTAAAGTCAAATTTTCAAGCTTACCATTTAAAAAAAAAAATCAATGCATCCAACAGATATGATTAAAAAAAATAGCTTTATTTTAAAACTTTGAATTTTTATAATTTTTGGACCAATTTTTTTAAGCTTGTCTAGAATCTTTAATTTGAAGATCCAATTTTTTTTAATTTAAATAATATTTTTAACAATTTTTAATCGGTCTCAAATATTTTCAGTAAACAGAATTTTGATTTGCAAATTGTTTGTTCTTACCAGAATCCCACATGAACAGATAAACCAACCATGATGTCCCCGCTCCGCCCTCGGTTTCGATAGTGGATAAAATTCTGACTATAACTCAAGCGTGCTGCTGACCAAGGTGCTTTAGTGAAATCATTCAAGGGTCGCAGCTAAAGGTTGCACACGCTTTACGCCCAAGGGGTCGCGCCCAGTGGTCAGAAACGCGCCTTATCAGGAGGAAAACGAAGTTGGAAAATGCACCGGCAGGATGACTGGAGATTTGTGGATAATGCCCGAAATTTATTCCGCAGTCGATATTGAGAGTCCACTCGAAACTCAGCCAACCCTGCAAATGCAAAATCTTTTAGCGGTGGACTGGAAAGGGGAAAAGTATGTGGGCGTCACGTTCGCCGGCGGAACCTCTTTATGTGTAAACTTGAAACGAGAGATGCTCCTCTTATCACAATGTATTTTTGACAAGGTAAATCTGTGCTGTTTATTCTGACATAAATAGAGACGAGATTTTTGCGTACAGAATGTCAATGGTGATTTTCTTGGAACTTCAAGAGCATACTTATATATTTTACCTGGTAAATTGTTTAAAAATACCGATTTTTTCCGATTTACAAAAAAATAATAATAATAATTTGAAGTTACTTGTGCATAAAGAAACAAAGCAAAATTATGGTTATAATTAGAAGAAAATAAAAAAAAATTGATTCCTTTTTTTTTAAAGCTAACCAAAAATCAATTTGGGAAGGAGTGGAAATTAAATGTAAAGGCATAAATTAAAAATTAACTGAAGAAAGCGAATAAAAGAATAATTATTGCCTAGGTTTTCTCTATACAATTTGGAATATCAACTCCTTACTTAAACAAAAGTTATTTTAAAACAGTCTCGACATTAAATCTCATTTTCGTATTAGTAACTTATCTAAATCAAATATGGCAATGACATTTTTGAAATGTAACAACTGCACGCTAACAAAATGTAAGTTATATCGAAAAATAAACAAAGATATTTTTTACATTCCAATCGCCGGAGCGAAAACAAAAGGGTGCCGGTATAGAAAGTCTTATCTCTGTGAACTTTAAGAGGAATAAAAAATCGGCCCCGGCTTGCAGACGTTTCACATTAAACGACCAAAATAGGGCCAACTGAGACCGCTGGGCTTTGTAATGCTAAACCCAGTCTGACTACTTTATATGTAGTTGCAATGATTTGCCGATAACCGCGGCAACTTTTCCCATCTCGCCGTCTGCGCGTCGCAAAACTCGGCATACATAAAATCTGTTATTTTTCCCCAGCACTCGCTGAATGAGAAAAATGTCCCTCTTTTAATCGATGCAAATGATGATGAAGCGAATTTATTCTGAGCCACGCCTAAATCCGCGTCCGATATAGTAATTTTTCCCTATGGTCGTCGGCAAACCCCTGAAGCACTGAAGCCGGCGAGATGAATTTGAAAAAAAGGGTACTGTGCATGCATAATCGAGGCGGTCAGATCGTGCTGGACGATAACAAAAGGTGGATTTGGCTGAGGAAATCGGATTTGCGAGCGGAATATATAATCAATGTTCACATGGGTTGCCGGGGAAAGCGGATGATAATTAATGACATTACGCGTCGTAAAGTGCAGCTTGTGCCTTGGAATAACATTCAGTCTCTGCTCGTGGAGCTGCCGCTTAATGGAATTAACGCACACACTTAAGTGCTCGCGAAAGCAGCAGATTTCAACGGCGATCGTGCCAAGAACGGGCCAAAACAATCTAAATGGAGACGTTCACGGAGCTAATGTTCACAGTTCCTGCTGCTCCAATTTAATTGTCGTTGACGACGAAAGTTGTCTGATTTTTTGGTCCATTTGACGGCCGGGAAAGTTTTGATTTAAAATTTTATGTGCTTGTCGGCAAAGGAAGTGCTGAGGATGAAAGTTTTTCCTTTCCATTTTGAGCGAAATATATTTATACGAGACTAGGAAAAGGTCACTTATACGAGAGGCACTCAACTTTTCAGAATGTATGTACATTTTCTTACGATACAATAAATTCCGTCGCAAACCCTTTTTATGAGTCGTGAAATTTATGGTTTTAATTAAACGGGATCGTCCTCTCCGCTAAAACCCGCGCAAAATATTTTCCATTCCAGTCATGCACGAAATGTCTAATGGGGAGCTGCGTTGTATCCCACTGAAATGCAAACAAGACCATTCTGCGCTGAGGCGAGTAATTGCGAAGCAAAAGCCGTCAGACGTAATAAAGTTTTCTTGTTTAATTGTAGCGCGCGACAACCTCCAGGTCGTAATATTTTGTATCCGCGGCAGAACTTTGATGATGAAGAAAGCAATCGAAATAAAAAACAAGGAAAGCAGGTAATGAAAGATAAGAGGTAGGAAATTAAAACTCGGGAACTTTCAGTGTTACATTAAAAGTTGGCAAACAAAATTATTTACCTGACGAATCACAAAGCAATTTTTTTCTTAAATCAGTTAAATCTAATTAGGTGATGGAGTAATGAGTTTCTATCAAAATTATATAAATATTATGAGGCGAGTATCATCTTAACAATTAAGTTTACCAAATATACAATTTTTAGGATTTAGGGAGTAAGAGACACAAAAATAATGCATTTTAAAAATTAAAGGTTGCAAAATTTAAAGAAACAAAAATTGAAAACAAAATTGATTTAAACTAATTAACAAAACATTGCATATCAATTTAATTTATTTGTGTCATTCATAGCGTAAAATCTCTTATCTGGTGATGAAGTTTAATTTAAATGAGAGATCATGCTATGCAAAAGTTGCATTCATTTTTATATGTAATGCAAACTTCTTTTTGTTTATATTTTGCGCATGATGTACTCACAATCTCAGCGGTGTAATAAAGTTTAAAATCAACTCTCCCCGCCAAGTATTCATGTTTATCTTTGCAGTAGTTAAACGAGTAAAACACAAATTAACTGTTTCTCTCTGATACGAAACTTGACCAGTGGTGAGTGCAGCACCATTAACCGCAAGTGAAATAAAACGAGCTGCCCGCTGAATATTTGCTCGGAGGCGACTCGTGTGTGCCGCAGCGACCGACCAACTCCCCGTCGAGTGGAACACGATTTGCATCTCAAAGCGCACAGTCGGAATTGCGCCGAGACTCTTTTTTTCTCTTCTTTTTCTATGTGTGTCCACCTACGTAGGGACGCGATCAAAAAACGCTCTCGCCACACAGCCACAAAGCCGAAACCAGTAGCCTGGTCAAAGAGAGTGCTCTAGTAATTCTTTTTGTGCAAAAGTCCCTCGACAGTTGTTGCTAACTGGTAAGTACGAGACGTCGAGCTGCAATTTGCGCGCTTCAAGTGCACGCCAGAGTGCTCTTTGTGTATCAATTACACGGCGAAGGTTTTCATTAAAAGTGGTGGAAAACGGAGATTTTAATCAGACTCTGCTGGAAAGCGAGAAAAAGAGGCGCCGAGATCTGCCCCGGTTTCGAGCTCCTCTCACTGGAAAATAAGAGCAGAGACCTAAATTATACGACTCCCTCTTGCGTGTCTCTTTCTCTCTTGGAAAGGAAAAGCCGTGGTGCAGCATTGCTGTGTATTATAATGGAATCCGGGATTTGACTCGTGGAGTTCAAAGGGAATAGGGAATGCACTTTTGTTTCGTTTGTGTACTTTGTTTGTCTTACTTGCGATTCCAGCACGGGTTGTTTTTTCGCGACTTTCTACATATTATAGTTGGGCTTCCCCTTTGCTGTCTACGCTTGAGTACCACCTCTCGTGCAAGCGCATTGAAATTTGCCAGTGTTTGAACACACACACGTGTAAGAGTGACATGTCGGTACGCGCTTGTTACTGCATGCTCGTTGACAAACAACATTAATACACTTTGGTGTGTGCTGTTTTGCGCCACCTGCAGCGGTTTATTGCCACAGTTGAATTATAAACCCATGCACCAAAGCAATTACGCACACCATTAAGGTTACTCGGTATTATTGTGTAATGTAATATGCAGATAATTAACGTAGATGAAAACAATGAAAAGGGTGGTTAATTTATGGCCGGAACCGGTGCTTTTAATAATAATAAACATTAATTTGAATTTTAATGTCAGCTTAATTTGTAAAATTTAATTGCTTCAAAGCAAATATTTACGATTGAATTTCTGGTCCGAATACTTAAACACAAGAAAATTACTATTGCAGTTTATAATTTATCAATTTACTGATTTAGAAATTAGTAACTATCATTGTATATATGTATGCATAAAATTATGATTTTTTTCATTGCTGTTCAGAATAATTTGTATTTGTTAGGAGTTGAAATTTATAAAAATTTAAAATGTTGAGGCTGACTATTTGACAACTGTTCTAAGGTGCTAAGAATTAAATTATAAAGTTTAACTTCAATTATTTATTTTATAAATACTGATAAAAAAATACATTTTTTGCACTAAAGAAAAATATTCAAGAATGTACTTCAACAAAAATGGAGAACTCGAAAATGTTTTACAAATTTAATATACCATAGTAAGATTTTTATGTTTCTTTACCTCTTCCAACTCCCCTTAAGAGCAGTATTTTTTTAACATTTTCCGATTTCAGGACTGACAATGAAATCCAACGTAGATTTATAACTGTAATCAGCCCAAAATGAGATCCTACTTTATCACTTGAACCATCCTTTTTATCATTCAAAACTTCCACACTCTCCATAAATCCATATAGCTCCGCTCACTGGCATCAGGTTCATTCATAAATCATTCTCCGCGCATTTCCTTCGCTCGGCAAAAAGTGAAGACGCACGCCTGTCTCCTTCTAGGCATAGAGAAAAATGGCAAATAGATATGCATTATCCATTTCGGCGCAGATGATGCAGAATAGAGTAGTCTCTGAATAAATATGTGCATACACCACGTTCTCTCGTAAACAAACCCACATTTTACCAGCAGAGTGTCAGACTTGCGGCTGACTAGACGGTATGGGAAAGAAGAAAGTCGGAAGCAAGCGAATATCCCATTTTCGTGCTGCCACTATTTGGGCCGGGCGGGAAATAAGGGCTGTATTTTAGCAGACATTCATATTTATTACGCCGAGTGCGTCGAGGCTGTTGCTGTCATAATCTTGTTTTCATTATCTAATAGAATGTGATATATAAATCATTACGAGTGGGGCCGAGCAAGCAGGAGCAGGTAACGGATAAATTGGACGCGTGTCCCATCAAGCGGACATAAAACGACTGGCCGGAAAGCCAATCCGAGAGAGCTTGCCTTTTTTGCTTTGGCGAATTTATGTGTCAGACCCCCCGACACGGTCGTGTGTCATAATTTTCAGGCTACGGCCCTCATAAAGCTCCTGAAGTAAAGAACCGCTATGAGAAATAAATAAAATTAAATGGGTGAATCTGCGTGGAAAAGTTTCCTCGCATGTATTTTATATTTTATTCATAAATCAGTCTCTCAGCGACGACGATTTAAAATGTTTCCTTCTCACAAGAATTTTCCTCTTTCACTAACTTCTAATGAGACACGTGCTGCCTGTGAAAAAAACTACTTTGTGGCAGATGCAATAAAATTTGCCTGATTGAAAATCGATCTCCCTTCTGCCTTCTTCAATCATTGTCAATATACTTGAGCAGCCCGATTGTGGGCGTGACTCTGATTTTATCAACTTGAGAGGCCAATTTCAGTTTTTAATATACCCATTTGTTGAATGAGAAACGAATTTTTCCGCCCCAATCAATGTAATGCTTTATAACGAGGCTTTTTTGTTTAGCATTTTAGCCAAATTGGCCAAAAAGGGCCACACGAATCGACTACAGGGACAGCTTCCGTGTCACTCGAGAGTTTTATGTGCAGATACTGACATCGCGCGGGGCGTGCGTTTTGCCCGTGGCATGCTGATTTTAATTAATAATAATAGCCACTCGAGTCACGCACAGACCGAAACGGGCCGCACGAGCAAAACACATTTCACTGATGATGCCTGGCATTGTGTCTGAAACGAGAGATCCCGCCGCGCTCCTAATAAAATAATTGATCCCCTGCACTCATCAGCTGGCCGCCGTCCACTCTATGGAACGACCGTGAAGTTGGCCACTTTTTTCAGCCACTCGCCAGAACTTGGCCACTTTTCCGAGCCACTCATATTTCTTCGAAAGAACAATGTTGCCAACATAACACCGGCATAAACATAGAGTCAAAACTAAAAACACGGGCTTAAGATTTGAAAACGATTTCATCCGTCAAAAAGGTAATAAAAGAATCAAATAATATACATTGAACGCATTGAAATTTGGTTTTACTAATCTATAAAGTGAAACTCCTCAATGTTATATACATAAATAATATATTATTTAATCCTTGTTGGTGCGACTACGAAGCTTTTAATTTTTTTAAAATTAATTTCTATGGTTGAACTTTTCTAAATTTTTGCACAAAGGTGGCCCAAGTACTTGTTTACAAAGTGGCAATAGCCTCATTGATGATCGCAGATCAGGAGCCGCCCCCGGGGGCAGCCACTTTTTCAAAACGACGATTTTCAATAAAAAAAAAATAGTTTTTTTTAATTTAAATTAATATCTATGGTTGAATTTTTCTAAATTTTTGCACAAAGGTGGCCCAAGTAGTTGTTTACAAAGTGGCAATAGCCTCATTGATGATCGCAGTTCAGGAGCCGCCCCTGGGGGCAGCCACTTTTTCAAAACAACGATTTTCACTCAAAAAAATAGTTTTTTTTAATTTAAATTAACATCTATGGTTGAATTTTGCTGATTTTTTGCACAAAGGTGGCCCAAGTACTTGATTACAAAGGGACAATAGCCTCATTGATGATCGCAGATCAGGAGCCGCCCCCGGGGGCAGCCACTTTTTTAAAACGACGATTTTCAATGAAAAAAATAGTTTATTTTAATTTAAATTAATATCTATGGTTGAATTTTGCTGATTTTTTGCACAAAGGTGGCCCAAATACTTTTTTACAAAGGGGCAATAGCCTCATTAATGATCGCAGATCAGGAGCTGCCCCCGGGGGCAGCCACTTTTTTAAAACGACGATTTTCAATAAAAAAAAAATAGTTTTTTTTAATTTAAATTAATATCTATGGTTGAATTTTTCTAAATTTTTGCACAAAGGTGGCCCAAGTAGTTGTTTACAAAGTGGCAATAGCCTCATTGATGATCGCAGTTCAGGAGCCGCCCCCGGGGGCAGCCACTTTTTTAAAACGACGATTTTCACTCAAAAAAATAGTTTTTTTTTTTAATTTAAAATATTTTCTATGGTTGAATTTTTCTAATTTTTTGCACAAAGGTGGCCCAAGTACTTGATTACAAAGGGACAATAGCCTCATTGATGATCGCAGATTAGGAGCCGCCCCTGGGGGCAGCCACTTTTTCAAAACAACGATTTTCACTCAAAAAAATAGTTTTTTTTAATTTAAATTAACATCTATGGTTGAATTTTGCTGATTTTTTGCACAAAGGTGGCCCAAGTACTTGATTACAAAGGGACAATAGCCTCATTGATGATCGCAGATTAGGAGCCGCCCCTGGGGGCAGCCACTTTTTCAAAACAACGATTTTCACTCAAAAAAATAGTTTTTTTTAATTTAAATTAACATCTATGGTTGAATTTTGCTGATTTTTTGCACAAAGGTGGCCCAAGTACTTGATTACAAAGGGACAATAGCCTCATTGATGATCGCAGATCAGGAGCCGCCCCCGGGGGCAGCCACTTTTTTAAAACGACGATTTTCAATGAAAAAAATAGTTTATTTTAATTTAAATTAATATCTATGGTTGAATTTTGCTGATTTTTTGCACAAAGGTGGCCCAAATACTTTTTTACAAAGGGGCAATAGCCTCATTAATGATCGCAGATCAGGAGCTGCCCCCGGGGGCAGCCACTTTTTTAAAACGACGATTTTCACTCAAAAAAATAGTTTTTTTTTTAATTTAAAATATTTTCTATGGTTGAATTTTTCTAATTTTTTGCACAAAGGTGGCCCAAGTACTTGATTACAAAGGGACAATAGCCTCATTGATGATCGCAGATCAGGAGCCGCCCCCGGGGGCAGCCACTTTTTCAAAACGACGATTTTCAATAAAAAAAAAATAGTTTTTTTTAATTTAAATTAATATCTATGGTTGAATTTTGCTGATTCTTTGCACAAAGGTGGCCCAAGTACTTGTTTACAAAGTGGCAATAGCCTCATTGATGATCGCAGATCAGGAGCCGCCCCCGGGGGCAGCCACTTTTTCAAAACGACGATTTTCAATAAAAAAAAAATAGTTTTTTTTAATTTAAATTAATATCTATGGTTGA